ATATATATATATATATATATATATATATATATATATAGAGAGAGAGAGAGAGAGAGAGAGAAAGAGAGAGAGAGAGAGAGAGAGAGAGAAAGAGAGAGAGAGAGAGAGAGACAGACAGACAGACAGACAGACAGACACATAGACAGACACACAGACAGACATACAGACAGACACACAGACAGACAGAGAGAGAGAGAGGGGGGGGCGGAGTGAGGGAAAGAAAGAGAAAGAAAAAAAGGGAGTGAGATGTGATTGCATACGTGTTGTGGTGTAAATGTAAGTGCACAGTGACTTAAGAAACAAAGACAGACCAACAATCTCGCTCTTCAAAGCTACTATTGCACTCTCTTTTCTTTTCCCAGGACCTGGCACGATGGTGACGTCACAGCTCAGTTTGCCGATGATTGAATCGGCTCTTCTGCCCCTCGAGGCCATTGTAAAAGTACATACCATTCCCTGGTACATTTTACTCGACTTGCGCAGTCTTGAGTAAACCAATAATTGGTCAAGTTCCATCCAGTTTTCTATTTTGGAACTTTTCAGTGTGCAATGGGCTAATGTGCCCCCAAGACACAATTTTCTCTTCGTTGTGTATTATTGAAACAGTATGTATGCTGCCTTTTGCTATTACCACTGTCGCAGGCCATGGGAATACCATTTATGTGAACAATAAACTTATGTTGTCATTGTAGCCTACTATGTTTGTGTCTCGGTTTATTACACCACGAATGCGTTGCGAATCCGTAAATCGCTTTAAACACAAATGTCCCCAAGCTCTTGTTCGTAGAGTCTATACATTATCTATCTATCTATCTATCTATCTATCTATCTATCTATCTATCTATCTATCTATCTATCTATCTATCTATCTATCTATCTATCTATCTATCTATCTGTCTATCTGTCTATCTGTCTATCTGTCTATCTGTCTATCTGTCTATCTATCTATCTATCTATCTATCTATCTATCTATCTATCTATCTATCTATCTATCTATCTATTGGTCTCTCGGTCTTTGGACTTTGTGTGTGGACAAGTTTGTGGGTGACTATGTCTGCTGGTGTGTGTGTGTGTGTGAAAGAGAGAGAGAGAGAGAGAGAGAGAGAGAGAGAGAGAGAGAGAGAGAGAGAGAGAGAGAGAGAGAGAGGGGGGGTGGAGGAAAGGGAGAGAGGGGGAGAGTAGGCATATATAAATGAATTGATTAAAACAAAAGCATAGAGTGTAACAGCCGACATGACAAGTTAGTAGTAAAGTAATAACCATGATGGAAAAACAAGACTGATTCCCGTTTTTTAAATTTTCTTTCTTCTGGTTGAAAATGAGCTTGCATAGACTTTAGTTAGTAAGTGCTTGTAAAATCGCACAGGTAGGTTTTTAAATACAAAAATATATTGTTTGTTGCAACTAGGCATTAAAAAAATGAATAGATTAGGCATATAATATAACTAAATTGTTGAGTGTAACGACCGACATAACTAGTTACTAAAGTAATTATAATGATTTAAAAATGTAGTTAAAATTAGCTTATATCGGATCACAACTATGCTTGGCGTAAGAGACGTAACCTAATAGAATCCCGCCTTTCTGGGGATTTGAGCTACGACTTTTTCCTGGTGAAGTCACCTAGATTTTTAGCGTCATCGACATATTACCCAGCGATTATCGTGAGCCTGGCCTCGGGTCAGACAATATTATGTACAAAGAGCTCGTCACTGTTGGTTTATAGCATCGGGAGATGATTAATCTAGCAAAAGAGTAAAAAATAAATTTGCGCCACTACTAAAGTAGACGAAAAGTATCTAACAAATCCAGAGACATATCGAATGTTTTGAAAGAGAAAAGTACGAACGCAGTAACCTACAAGTTAATTGATCCCCCCCCCCCCCCCTCGCAACCCTTTCGACCGTCTTTGTAGCTTTATCTGTTTTCACAAGACCATTTTCGTTTTAAATTTAACGTACTTATGATCCATCAATCACTCGGAGCAGGTGCCCAATCGTTATCCAGCCAGGCTTAGCCCTGCAAATTAAAATCCAGATTTTTAGCCGTCTCTTGGAATGCTAAGGCAAAGTATCAGAAAGGCAAACAATAACTTAAATTTAGGCCTAGATCTAATAATAATAATAATAATAATAATAATAATAATAATAATAATAATAATAATAATAATAATAATAATAATAATAATAATAATAATAATAATAATAATAATAATAATAATAATAATAATAATATAGAAAGTGGATAGGAAAAGGAACTTGGGCAGGCCTACCGAATATTGCACTTTCAGAAAAGGGAAGGCTCAGTCCAAAGATGGACTTTATTATATATCGAGGAGGAAACACTCTCGCAACAGGTGTAGGATTTCATTTGACGGAGCAACGACAAAGAGTATCAAAGGTTTTTGGGGTGCTTCTGACAGGGTAATAATCATAAAAATTAAATAAGCTAGAAGGGAAATCTTTTGACTTGTAGAATAATTCAAGGATATAGATCTACATCAACATCGGATCCCAATAAATAGCCTAAACTAAAACTAAAGTCAAAGAAACATCGAACAGAAAAACCCTAGCCACTAGCCAGATCTAGATTCTAGGCCTAATGAAAAGCTGGATAGACAATGGAACAGCTAAACTCTCAAGATATATAGTTAGCTATAGGGGGATTTCAATGTAAAGGTTGGAGATACATGGATTAATGATTACAGTAGTAAATGTATTACGATGATAAATGTTGTGTTGTTGGGTCAGCGAAAACGAACAAGGACGCGTTTCCATAGTTTCCAAGGAAAAGATTTCATGTTGTTGTTTCCAGTTTCTAGCAGTTCCCAGTAAAAATGTTACAGGTTCCAGTTTCCAGCAGTTCTCTCCTCATTCTAGGGCCTACAGTCCTCTCCTCTCCTTCTGTCATTCCGCTGTCTTCCTCCAGTCCTGTCTGCAGCAGCTGCAGCGATCTATCCTCCAACAGAGGGCCAAACGTTTACCGACAGAAGTTTGCGTGTTTGGAGCAGGTATTCTGGCTTTAAATCTGTTGATTTCTTAGGAAGCTAGCCATTAATAAACTTGTTGAGAATTGTTGTTTTGGTAATTTTGTTTTGCTATCACCTGTCACCCCCGCACACAGACACAGGACACAGATGCAGTACCCTGCCTACTTACATAAAACTAGATCTAGATCTAGATTCTAGATCTATGTACAGTCAAACCAGGTAAACATGTGTAAATCGGCCTCCCATCATCAAGGAGAAAATTTTAATTAGTGGCCGATTAACACAGGTGACCATCTTAGGCAGGACTGATCAAAATGAAGAAAGCAAAAATCCTTCTTTTCTGAGGTTCAAACCAGGGCTGATATCAGGCTTTGGACTGCTGTAAGGTTAATTCAAAAGGCATTTTGTTTTCTTTTGAAATGTGTGAGGGGGGTTTTTGTTGTTGTTGTTTGGTTGGTTTGATTTTTGGTTAGCTTTCTGATTTTTTGCAGGGGTAAAATAAACGAAATATAAGTAAGACGATGAAGACCGAGTGCCATCGTAAAACAAACACTCGGGTCGCCACCACTCGGAAAACGAGCAACGCTTCTGTCACAAGTTCGTGTCAAAGTCCTTTGTTACAAATTAAGTGAACAAAACACTGACCAGTCACCTCTCACACGATTTGTGCATGAGTTGTGGGCGCGGCTTATATATAGGTTATAAAATGACGGATCATGCTTCCCTCACCAGCAGTTGAAAATTAATTGTTAAGCCTACCCACTGGTCAACCTGGGTAAACATTCACTGGAGGGACAAACAATAACGATAGGTGAATGAATTATGACGGCCCGTCCACAACGTGAGGGACCGATTCAAAATTGATGGCAAAGTTTCAGGCAAGTGACCACGCCTGGCCGCCTGAGGCAGGTAAATTTGACAGTAAGTTGATAAAATAAGGTGGCAGCGGCCACGTTGGACTGGTGCCCGTTTTACACAGTTGAATTGAATAGAAAAAAAAACGTAAGAGGGAAAATGGAAAGTGGCCATTTGTACAGGTGGCCGTCTTATATAGGTGGCCGTTATGGCAGGTTCGACTGTATTTTTGTTGCTTAACACATATTCACATAGCCACCAAAAAGCGTCACAAATTAATGGTTCTCACGAAAATTTCAATATTAATTTTGCCAAACATCAAATCGTTGTAAAATACATGTAGCATGTAGGCTATCTAGCCTATCTATAGTCTATGTGTACAATTTTCTTTTAAAAGAGTTGCTGTCATAGACTTAGACAATTTCGACTGCATATAATTTTATACCAGCCCTGCCTTATGAATTCTTTACCAATGTTTGTAATACTTACCTGCCGTAACTTCCTTTTCCGCTGTGTGTAATACCTAAATACCCCTTATTCCTTTCCATTGTTTGTATAGTAATACCAGCCACCATTACCATCCCATTTGTTTCTTGTGTTTGTAATATATTACATGGATGGCTGGTGCCTCTATAAATAAATCATTGATGGTCAGGTCAGGTCCAGCCCTTACATTCTAAACAAAGTGTTTGTCTACCATTACATTCTTTCTAGTGTTTGAAAGCTTCTTATACATTTTAAAAATAATATTTTCAATCTTTGTGTGTACTTTTACGAGTAAAATCTGCAATACAGACACGAACCCCTGTCATTTTACTAAATTTTGTATTATAATATATATTACTTTACTATCATTCTCAAACAATATTTAATACAAACAATGTTCCTGTTACACTACATTTACTTTCTACTATTTTGATGAACTTCTGACATGGTATGATTTATCTTATCATTAACTTATGAGCTTCCTATCATCCATACAATGGTGTACTCTCCAGAAAACATGCCTAAGCAGATTCCCCTTGAAGTAGCAGAGCCACTGATAGCGGCGGTGAAAAAACGGGAAGTGTTGTACAATGTGAGCTGTGACGGCTACAGAGACCGCAGCTTGACAGAGCTGGCCTGGAAAGCTGTTGCGGAGGAGACGGGACAGGATAGTATGTGTTTTCTACGTTGCGTAGATAATGTGTCACGACGCGGTGGAATCGGGCACTCGTCAATTTTTGGACATGTGGAGTTATTGATTATATCAATTTAAAGCGTGTTCATTTGTCTTGGTTTCAGTGAAAAAAATACTAATTTATCAGGAGTAGAAGTCGAGATATTTGCGATTGAAGGTGGTAGGGGTCGAATGGTTTCAGAGGTAAAATTAGCGAGAAATGGCCACCAAAGTTTGGCAAATTCCAAAGCTTGAGATCAGTCCTTAGAAACTGCAAATTTTGTGTATTTGTGCCCTAAATCAACATTTTTTAGTAAAATCCATACAGAAATGTGTTTTTAAATGGGCCTTGAAGGTGTTGCATCAAAGCACAAAAATTCAATAATTGCCAAACGGATTTTAAAAATGCCAGTTTCTTTGATTTCATTATTATGACGAGCGCCTGATTTCACCATGATGCCTCGTATAGTATTATGGTGGGGTAAGCGTGGATATTTTCCCATGTTGGGTAGACTTTAGTGTGTGTTATGGTGGAGTACGTGTGAACATTTTCCTATATTGTGTAGATTTATGTGTGTCATGATGGGGTAAGTATGGACATTTTTAATATTATGTAGACGTTAGTCTGTGTTGTGGTGGGGTAAACGTAAACATTTTTCTATTTTGTGTAGACTTTAGTGTGTGTTACCGATGTCTAAAAAAAAGAGGACCCATTTAAAGGGTAATAACTCTTTTGTCTTTCAACTAATTTCAACAAAACTTCAAAGAAATACAATTCAGCCATGAGGGCGTTTGATTTGTGAATATGAAAGAAATCAACCAAAACGTTTGAAAAATATCAATTTTTGAAAATTTCAAATTTACTTCTCTCTCTCTCTTTCTCTCTCTCTCTCTCTCTCTCTCTCTCTTTCTCTCACTCTCTCTCTCTTTCTCTCTCTCTCTCTCTCTCTCTCTCTCTATCTCTCTCTCTTCTGGCGCTGTGGCGTCATAAACGGTCAGCAATGCCAACAACACGCAGGAACTCAACGCTTGCTTGGGAGTCCGTGTATAGTGCTGAGCATGGGTCACTGAATTGTCCCAGCAGACGTGCGGGACATTTAAGGAGCCCATGGTCCATAGTTTCGTCGTCCTCTTGCAGTCTCGACAGGACAGATCTGGTTAGTTCGCTGGCGCAATTTTGTGGAGATATGATCTCAGCTTGGGTGATTTTCCATCAGTTCTCATTTTTCAAATTTACTTGATCACTTGGTCCTGGGAACAACATCCTAGCAATCCGGGCATTGCTCTACGTGCTCCACTCCCCGCTCCAATATCCACCTCAGAGTCCACCTGCTGATTGTTTCGGTGTTCATTTGGTTAATAGACCCGTCTTTCCATCCCCTGCACCATGCTGGTTCTGCCACCTCCTCTAAAGACACCCAGTTCCTCAAGTCCTAAGATTGGTACATAGTCATGCTCAATCTCCTCATCTTCAAGTGTGGTGGGAAGGGCCTTCAAGACATCTTTTTTGTCTAGTTTAATATCAGTAATGACAAGTGCCTTGCTCGCCATTTTGTTTTCAAAATTGAATTGAGTGACACGCAAAAATTAGCAATATCTTTAAAATCCACCACACTATTCCATTTCAAATAGGTACTATTTGTGCATTGAAAAACAAATTTATTCTAATTTATATTGCTAAATAAACCCAGGGACGTTATTTAGATGTAAATCTCCATTGCTCTCCCCGCAAGCTCCACTATCATCATCATTGCCTTTCTCACCCTGGATCAGGATATAGGCCAGGAACAAAGACTTTCCTCCTTTCTCTATCCTGGACTAGTCGCTTAATGTCACTCCTCGTCTTCCCACTTTTCTGTACGTCCATTTCCGTGACTCTTCTCCAGTTTCCACGTGGTCTTACCCTTGATCTTGATCTTTTACCCCATGGAAGCTCCAATATGCCAATGGAACTTTTGAATAACCCTGTGACATGTTTCTGGGTCGATTCTTTGAACGTCATATTATTCAACATTGAGTTTTAACTCTTCGATTATTTATGGGATGTTCCTGTAGACTCTGTCCCTCAAAAAAAAAAAAAAAAAGAGGTAGGCTATTGTTGTACATTTTGGAAGATAATTTTTTCGTGCATACAATCCTGTAAAATGCTAGCACAAGTGGTAAAACACAATCATGTGTTAACTGTTATAACTTGGAAGGCACAAAACTAATAAATGATTACCAATACTGAAAGTGTAGCGACCGACAGCATAAGTTACTCAAAATAGTAGGAAAACAAATATTAACATGCTTCCAGCGTTTCAAAACACAATTTTGTAAAGACATCAGGTTTACACATGTTTACCTGGTTTGTCTGTACATAGATCTAGAATCTAGACCTAGATTCTAGATTAGATCTAGAGATAGATCTAGTTTTATGTAAGTAGGCAGGGTACTGCGTCTGTGTCCTGTGTCTGTGTCTGTGTGCGGGGGTGATAGCTGATAGCAAAACAAAATTACCAAAGAACATATGCTGTTACAACTAAGCATGAACAAAAACTATTAGGCTATAACCAGTACTGAAAGTGTAACGACCGACTGCACAAGTTACTAAAAATAGTAGGAGGACAAAGAAATGAAAATGCTTTCATCTTTTTAAAACGCATTTAGGAATGTTAAACATGATCTGGTCAAAAAAGTTTATACAATGCATTCGCCTTTGGTAAAACATAATAAGTATGGTAATTGTTATAACTAGGCATGCCTAAAAACCAATAGTTTATAACCAATGCAAAAGTGTTACTACCGACTGCAAAAAATAGTAAGAGACAAAGAAACAAACATACTTTCACCTCCTAGAGCATTTGTACACTTTGGATAGACTTTTTCTGTGCTTACAATCCTAGAGCATTTGTACACTTTGGATAGACTTTTTCTGTGCTTACAATCCTATAGTATGTCAGCACATGTGATAAATCACAAAATTGTGTTACTTGTTTTAACGAGGCGTGCACTAAAACTAATTGGCCTAGATGATAACTAATACTGTAATTGTAACGACCGACCGCACAAGTTACTCAAAATAGAAGGAGGACAAAGAAATAAAGACACTCCCAAATTTTTGGGGAGCATTTCTACATTTTGGATCGAATTTTTCCGTGCATACAATCCTATAAAATGCTTTCACCTTTGGTAAAAACAGAATAATGTGTTAATTGTTATAACTAGGCATGCACAAAAACTATTAGATTATATCCAGTACTGAAATTGTAACGACCGACCACAATAGTTACTCCAAATACTAGGACAAAGAAAAAAAGACTATAAATTTGTCATACAACACAGCAAATTGGCTCCCAGATGTATACGCCACACATGGCGGCGCATAGCTTCTGAATGGCACCTGTGTAGTGATAATCTCCTTTCCTCCCACACTTCGGCACTTCGAACTCGGGGTCGTCTCATGCAAGAAGCCAAAAGGTTCAGGTTTTGAACGAAGGGCAGTAACTCAAAATATTGTCGTTCATCTAGTCGTAGCAGAATCATTTCCCCTGACTTAGGTCTGACAATCATCACAATACAGTCAAACCTTATACATGTGTAATAGGGGCTCTCGAGGCTTCGCCTCTCTTTCAAAGGTCCCGGTTTCGAATCCGGTAGCAACAGAAAAATTTTCTTCTCTAAAATTGTCTTCTTTCACCTCCTTTCCTGCTCTCTAGAAATGTTCTGTCGTCTGCTTTGTCCCCTCTTTCTGCCCCCACCCCCTCTCCTTTGCCCCCTCCTCTGGGCTCCTGACTCTTTCTGCAACCTTTCTACCACTACTCCTTGGCTCCTAACTGCTATCTTTCAGCCACACCCCTGATCTTCTGGAAGGAAAGATCTACACCTAGCCTTCTCGGACAAGGGCGAAAGATCTTGGAGGTCCCGTGTGCAAGTTCTGCACGTTAAAGATCCCTTTGTGGTCTATATTCAATAATAATAGATAATAGATAGCATTTGTATAGCGCATATCCCCGCTCAACAGCAGGCTCTATGCGCTTTACACTATATTATTACCCCCAGCACACCATAGAACACTCAGAAACATTCTCAGCTTCCCGTGAACCATACAGTTCAAGCAGCTGATTAAGCGCTCAAAAACTAACAAATTGACAAGATCTTTCGCTGTCTATAGCCGGCTACCCATTCCCACCTGGGTGAAGTGAGGAAAATTTGTGTAAAGTGCCTTTCCCAAGAACACAACGTTGGGCCCCTGACGGGATTCGAACCCACAACATTACGGTTGCGAGTCCGAGAGCCTAAACACTAGGTTTCGGCTGCCAACCGGGCAAAATTAAAAATTTCCTACCAACGGAAAATGTTTAATATGTCCCGCACGCTCATATGACCTTATGCAGTTGGGAGCGCCTTAAAACACTTACCAAAAAAAAAGCTAAATAAAAACCCTTATAATACGCCAGCCCCGCTATCCCAATGACTTCACACTCATCTCAAGGTTAGAAGGTTGGGGGCATAATGGAGACATACCATGGGTTACAATTATAAATAAAACCAAATTCAGACTAAGAACTTCTAACAGCTCTTTAGATTTAACTCTTTAGAAGATGAGAACCTTTGAAAGCCTCAAGATTGAAGGTTAATGGTTAAGTAAAAGTAAAGACATTGACAGATCTATGGGGAACATATACTGTCGACAATCGGATGGGTTGGTGGCATCGGAGGAGTGAAAAATTGATCAACTCATCCGAAATTCAATTTTTAAAACCATTGGGAACTGCAAAGAAGAAAAGGTGCTGAGACCCATGCAAAAGATCAGCTTAACCGAAGATGAACTCAGATCGTTGGACGCAAGCTGAGTTGACTGAAGTATTTTGTATAGAATCGATGGCTGCACTCTACATTTCTGCTTTTGCTTTTCTTTTTTTTTTACTTTCCTATATTAGATTTGTACATGCCTGGCAAAGCCTACTGTACACTTGTTGGTTGTTGTTTGTTTGTTTGTTGTTGTTTTTTTGCATGCTTTTTTTTTGGGGGGGGGAGGGTTCATTTTGCCCATTTTGTGTTTCACAACTGTTTTGAATTTGAGTTGCTCAATGTTCTTTTAACATTTCACTTACAAGTTGAATTCACGAATTTCTTTCATGATTATTATGAAATCATTAATTTCAGTCGCGCACAAAAAGAAAATGATTGTACAGTATTTTACAAGAGATGTATCGCATAGCGTGCTTGTTTGTTTAATTTCCTTTTCAGATACATATAGATACTAATGTATTTCAAAATAGATGTACATGTATGTTTGTTCTATAACAATGTACAGCCTTTTTCTGAGTCTCGAGCTCCATTTTTGTTTTCTTTATCAGACAACTGAAGTTTGAGAAAATTAGAGAGGTGGGAATCGGTGAAATCGGTTGATATAAAAATATTGTAATGGGAGGTTCAATTTCAATGACCCTGCCCCACACAGATCTATCAAAAAAAGTCTTCACTCCTCTTTAACCTTCAATCTTGAGGCTTTCAAAAGTTTTTGTCGTCTGAAGAATCGGAGAATAATCTGTTAGAAGTCCTTAGTCCAAGTTTGGTTTTTGCAATAGTTACTCACTAGATGGTTTCATTAATCTCTGTGTCAAAGATAAGACAAAATAGCTTTTCATTGGTGTCCCATCCATCGTGGTGGAGAGCATATACGCTATCCGACTGCGCTCTCAGCTCCGATGGGCCGGCCTCGTTCACCGCATGGGCGACTCTCGCCTCCCAAAGAGGCTACTCTACGGTGAACTGACCCTAGGCAAACGTTCTCTCGGCGGACTGAAGAAACGCTTCAAAGATGCCCCGAAAGCATGCCTGAAGAGTTGTGACATTCCCCATACCACCTGGGAAGAAGCTGCTCGCGACCGCACAGTCTGGCGCTCCTTAATAAGATCGGGAGTGGCCAAATTCGAAGAAAGTCGCGTCAGAAAGAAAGAATGGAGACGGCAGCTGAGAAAAGACCGAGAGAGCCCTACATTCCAGCCTAGTTCAGCCCCAAGCATCCCCTGTCCCCACTGTAACAGACATTTCCGAGCGAAGATCGGCCTGATCAGCCATCTCCGCACACACCCCACCCCTCCAGTGATGTGAAGTCAAGGTCATCTTCGCCAGGGAAGAACGAACATCATCCATCGTGGTAGCTTCAGAGAATTAGAATTCATTCTCATGCCCGCTGGTAGTTGGCAGGGAAAGCCACAATTTTGTGGCTGGATCCTCTCTGTTCACAGTGTGAGCAATGACATCATATGATCTGCTGTTGTGTAGGCTTGTGTTATAGTAAGAGTAACTCGGTCTGGTATTTTACAATGACAGTGACAATCTTTATTCATCTCGCAGGGAGAAATTTGTCTAGGTTGTTAACAATGGCAGAAGGTGTTACAAAGGTTAGGTGCACTCACGCGTACGCTCACAAGACAGACAACCCGCTTCGTAGTACATTCTCTCTCTCTCTCTCTCTCCCTCTCTCTCTCTCTCTCTCTCTCTCTCTCTCTCTCTCTCTCTCTCTCTCTCTCTCTCTCTCTCTCTCTCTCTCTCTCTCTCTCTGTCTCTTATTCTCTCTCTCTCTCTCTCTCCCTCTCTCTCTCTCTCTCCCTCCCCCCTCTCTCTCTCTCTCTCTCTCTCTCTCTCTCTCTCTCTCTCTCTCTCTCTCTCTCTCTCTCTCTCTCTCTCTCTCTCTCTCTCTCTGTGTGTCTCTCTGTTTCATTTGTAGCACTGTGTGTTCAGTAACCTTACTGCAGTTGGTACGAATAAATTTCTATATCTTGTCTTTTCTTTTTTTTTGGGGGATGGATCGTTTACTACGGGGCGATAGTTGAAATTCCGATGTCAGTGGGTGGCTATGGTCACTAAGCATTATTTCCGCCTTTTTCTGGTATTTGCAAGACTTTATGGAAATTGTGTTTTCTAACGAGAACACAACACAGCAGTTAAGTTTTGAAAATTAATTTCTTACTACAAAATGCACAAAACTATATGTTCTACTTTCTGTTGGCCAGGTACTTTCTGTCGGATGACTTGGACGTCTCTGAGATCATCCTACACCAGGATCATGGCACAGCGGAGACAGTACCAAGACTCGCACAAACTCCACGTGCAAGCAAAGATACCAAAGTGGTATTTGTTCAAACACTTGTCCTTTATCGATGAGTTTCTTGCCAACGGGCCCGGTGTCGACTCTTTCTCCTCAAACAAAGATTCCAACTCTCTGCATCCGGCTACCTCCAGTTCTCCTGAACACAACGGCACTACATCGGTACCGTCTTCGAATAATTCACATTCCAACTCGTTCTCGCTAGATGGAAAGAAGAGGAAAGCAGAAGAAGAAGACAAACCAGAAGTGTCTATAGACCGCTTACATAGCGCCCTCATGGCCTTCTTAGAGAAAACTGCAGAACGCGAAGAGGACCCAGACTTGGATTATTTCAAGGGAATTTTACCGTTCTACAAGAAGCTTGAGGAGAAGAACAGGAGAGTGTTCATCAGTCGCACCACGGCGTTGTGTATGGAGCTTATCGACAGTCAGGACCCGTCATGAGTTTCACTCTCACTTTTCTTTCTCAAAACAAAATGAAATAAGACTTTACTTTACTTTTACTTTTATCCGCCGCTTATATCCTTTTGGGTGTCGCGGGAAGAAAGAGACGTCTCTCTGTTGCCAGCTGGAGAGCATGGGTCAGGGGGATGCTGTGGGTGGTTAATGTTTCCCTGACTCTATCCCTCCAGGTCTTTCTCGGTCGCCCTCTAGCCTTGTTGCCTTCGAATTGTTGGATGTAGGCACATTGTGCTGGATGGTGTGTTGGTAATCGTAGGAGATGTCCGAACCATTTGATTCTTTGGTGTTGGATGTGATGCATGACATCATTTGTGTCCACCATTTCTCAGATTACAGAGTTTCTAATTTTGTCTCGCCTGGTCTTGCGTCTGATCTTGTTTACTGCTTTTCTAAGGCATCGCATTTCACATGTTGTAATTCTTTGCTCTAACTCTAATGTCTTGTTCGTCGTCCATGTTTGGCATTGATAGGTGAGTGTTGGGATGGATATGGTGTTGATCATTTTGAGTTTTGTTGTCATGTGGATGTTAGAATGTTTCAGTGGTGGAATAAGCTGGTAAATAACATTATTGGTCTTTTGTACTCGCTGGTACTTCTTTGTACTTCTCCTGGCAGGTCCTATTTCTTTTACTTTCCTCTTTGTTTCTGCCTGTCTATGTGGGTGAATAGAGCCCACCATGGGTACGGACTACTTTCTTTTTGCTTCTTGACATTGTTTCTGTCTGTCAGTACGGCAGATTAGTAATAAGATAATAATAATATATAGCATTTGTATAGCGCATATCCCCACTCAACAGCAGGCTCTATGCGCTTTACACTATATTATTACCCCAGCAGACCATAGAACACTCCGAAACATTCTCAGCTTCCCAGGAAGCATACAGTGCAAGCAGCTGATTAAGCGCTCAAACACTAACAAACTGACAAGATCTTTCGCTGTCTATAGCCAGGTACCCATTCCCACCTGGGTGAAGTGAGGAAAATTTGTGTAAAGTAAAGTGCCTTACCCAAGGACACAACGTCGGGTCCCTGACGGGATTCGAACCCACGACCTTACGGTTGCGAGTCCGAGAGCCTAACCACTAGGCCACCGACGCTACAATTGTGTTGCAAGTGCTGTAAAACTCTTACTAAAACTAAAATGTCCGTGTTATTGGTTGGAGGGCACCAGTTATACATGTAGAACCTACTTCTTTTCTTTCTCTGCGTTGTTTCTTCTGTCTTACTTTTCCCCCCAAACTAAATAACCATTGTTTCAATGTTCTTCTCTTTACTCAAATTCATAGATTGTTTTTTTAAATATTTTTTTTAGGGGGGGGGGAGGTGCTCTGGTGTGGTTTCCTTCTTCTTTCCAATCAAACTATGTTACTTTCTTGTAATACCTCTAGTCTTCAACACTTATTATTATTATATGACCTTATTGTGTTGAAAAGTCGTAAAACTTACCATTTTTGTACTTAAACTAAACTAAACTAGTTTTCACCTCTTTTTCTTCATTTCTGAAGGTGTTTCGGGTTTGTTTGTTGTTTTTTTTTCCAGTGTCTTCTCTGGTTGGCTTATTTTTGCTCTGTGCCGTGCTGTTATTACTATTAAATAATTAATTAAGATATGTATTATACCTCCCTCTATGACACACTCGTATGCACTTGTACAATCATTTACATACAATGTATTTATTTTTACTGACACACTTGTGTGCGCGTTCTCACTAACTTAAACAGGTCCATGTTTTGTAAATCACCAGCATTTGCGGTGTCATGTTTAGACTCTTCACCAAAAGATATGAGTGTGATTCTTGCCTTGGAAAGTCTTATTTTATTGAGTATCTCTGCTTGTTTGCTGGGATACTGGACTTTCAGTCGGGGTAAAGTCTGTAGGGTAGGGTGGAAACACACTGAACTATCTTCAAAATGATCTGACTTATGTTGATGGAGGGGTATTTATGTTTAGGAGACCGGGGCACAGTGGATCAAAAAAATTTAAGATGGTACAGCGTGACTGATGATAATGTTTATTTAAATTAATGCTGCCAGGTTCATAGTATGAGCAATCGTCATACTTATGTTGTCCTTTAATTAATTGACATTTAGTGTGTACAATAATGGGTGTATGGGTGTTCTCTTATTTCATCTCTGGTGATTCACTGTACTCTGGTGTGGGGGCACAATGTATCATATCATGGGACACAGTGAATCATGCTGGGGTACAGTGAATCAGTACACGAAACAACAAACTTATGAAGCATTTTGAAACAGTGACAAAAGAAAAAGTTAGGATAAACCATGAACACCCTCACAATTATCGGGATGCCAATCTAATGATTATTATTATGACTTATATTGTCCATGAAATAACCGACATCGTCATGCTATGACAATAACTAGATCTAATAGTAATGACTAGGTTTAGCAGTGACAGAAATGGAAAAGCAAATAAAAAAAGGGGTAAGAGTTGCACCATCAGTAGCAATACAATGCATGAAATACACACAGTCTCTGTTTCTTGGCAATTTAAAGCAAATTCAAACAAACGAAGAGTTTGTTCACATTTGGAAAAGTCAACGTTGAATATGAAATGACGTGCCACGCGGGCTGTTCCTCCTCGCATGGTAAGCTGGGGAAGTTTGCCGATGATTTGCAGGGCTTGAATTAGGTGTTTGGGTGTGTGTGTGTGGGGGGGGGGGGGCAGGCAGAAATTGTCTCGGTGGGGCCTAGAAATCAGAGGGCACCGTGGCAATTTGCAAGGGCACGAAGGCAAAAATTATAGGTGATCATTTCGTTGATTAAAGTTGGTAATTCTGAATCGTACATCACAACGTCTAAATAACAATACGATTTATTCTTGCTCTCTGCAAATTTATAGAGTTATTGGAAAATTTGTAAAATCGTGAATGAAACCTAAGTAAATCACAGTAAAATCACGTCAAAGCCCTGAAAAACATAGTTTTAAATCATATAAGGATCTCGATTGCATCTGACTTAAATGCCTTTATGACTAGCTCTTATTGACAGGATTGATCATTGATATGAATGAATATGACTCTTGACAATAAGGCACGATAGAAAACAGTAAATAATATGACAGATTAGGTAAGACATTAATCATTAATGAGATTCAAACAGAGTGGTTTACTGGCAGTGTAGTAATAAAATAAAAACAAATCATGGTAAATGAAAACACATATTGAACTTGTATGAAAAAGAAAAAATGAGGAGTGGAAACAGCTTATGAACTTGAATGGAAAGAAAGAATGAATATAACTAAAAACTGCTGTCTAACAGTTAAACACTAACAGTAGATTCTATGAGGTTATGCTATGACTATAATATAAGTGAAAACAAGTTTTGAGAATACTAGTTTTAAAGTATGTTTTATAAAAAAGACCTAAACAATCAGTGGGTCATATTAATGACTTATAGCTAGATCAGAATTGAAAATATGTTGGCACCCACAATGTAGAAAAAGAATGGCTTACTGTTTGTCCCTTATGGGAAAAACCAAGTGATTTTGAAAAGTATCACCTGAGAAGATGATTTCAGAGAACAATGCTGTTTAATCAGGACGTCTATTTGTGAGACGCATATCTTGCCACTTGGCAATTCAGGGTTCTGGATTGAAGTCTTTGATCTCAGGACCATTGGGACGTATAAGCATGATTTTTCAAGAATTGTCTCTGGAAAGCGAATGCTTCCAGCCATCAAAGATGCGCTTCGTCAAGGAAAACTGCCTTTCTACTACTTCTACCTCGGCTGTGGATGATGGCATAATATAACAGAGGTTATGTGAGCCAAATGAGACAGATTGGAAAATTTCCTTGCTTTTTTCCAGATTGAACTTGTCTTGTTCTCATTCACAGGTAGTATTAAGCCCTGACTTTCACTCAGAGAGAAACATGAGCCACTCTTTCTTTATTTTCAGTGTTGAGCTTCTTTGGTGTTGAAGCACAGTCTCATAATGAGCTATCAAGTCATCCATCTGTGTGTGTCTCACCATATTCTTTCAGCTCATCCATTTTGTCAGTTCCAGGCACACTTGTCCCGTCAAATATCCTTGAACTCTTCAAAGCTTTATCTTCTGATGTGCCAGAAAATCTTTCTTCCAAGCTCAGCACCATCTTATCCCACACATCTTTCATGGTTTGTTTGTAACCATCACATTTGCACTTTTTCTCTCATCTGCAGTCTTCTTTTTCATTCAGAGCTTTTTTTCAGACACTACTGAGGTTTGGTTATCATTGATTTGAGTGTGTTTGCACTAGACATGACAAAACGGACTCAATAGTCAAGCTGAGCAGTGTTTGACGGAAGGTTGGATGAGATTTCTGACAACTCTGACAGGATATCTTCATACCCCCCCCCCCTCCCACGAGTGTATCTTAAAAAAAATTTTAATCTATAATTCCACCATTCAACCGTCGGTGCACACACTGTGCTCGCACGATGCCGTATCTTGTGATTAAGTTGTAATGCATATATGCGCAGGTTCACTGACCGGTCACGATGGCGAACCCGATAAGACGCTTGTATTGTATAACTTTCTTTTCCTTTTTTTCTTCCACAAATGACAGAACAGGACAAATATTGATTTATTTTCATGGGGGTCACTTTTAAAAAAAACAAAAAACAAGGTCACGGAAAAAATTGCCACGGCTGACCTTTTCATTTTAAGGGCAATTCGGCAAATTGCAAAGGCACCGAGGCAAATTGCCGCGTTGCTGCGGTCTATTTCAAGCCCTAGATTTGGTCTAATGACGCCTCTGCAATGTCTTCCACTTGATGATGTTATAAAAGAGAGGCCTTCAGGTTTCTCTCGACGAAGAAATTTGACCTCAAAGACCAAATCCAAAGTTTCGACATCTCTGGGTTTGTCGAGAATTTGGGCAATGAACACAACTGTCACCTTTTTGGTTTCGAACTGTACCAAGACGAAATCACCAGGATTCAGATCATCTGGATCAGATTCTGTGATCTCTTCGATGTCTTCTCTTTCACTTTCTTTGTCGTAATGTGAGGAGTCATCGTCTTAAGGAAAGTGAGTG